CTTCCTTAAACAGGGAACCCCCCTGCCCATCCCCCGCGGCAGCGCAGAGCAGGTACAGAGCAGGTACCGGCCCTTCTGCGTCCCAGAGCGCGAGCCCCCAGCCCCTCCACATTCCCATCGTCTCCATCCCGGTCCAGGCTCGTCCCTCCACCTGGACGCACCCCCTCCCTCAGCTTCTAGGGGTTCCCACCTTCTCGGAGCCGGATCCTGGAGCCCCCTCGACCTGACCACCATCCCCCACTTTGTCTTGGCCCAATCCCCATCTTTTCCCAGCCCGAACATCATCCTTCACCCCCCTTCCTTCCCAGGACAGGAGCCCCTGAGCGCCCCAACCCCCTCCTGCTCTCCAGCCTGGGTCCCTGCCTGGGTGGCTACTTTCCTGAGACCACCGGTCTCTTCCTCGCTGGACCCTGAGCCCCTATCAGCCTGCCACTCGCTCTTTGCGAGCAAAGCCCACTCCCCACCTCTGTCTTCGCTTCTCCTTTCCAGAGAGTTGGAACCCACCCCCAGGAGCCCTGTCCGGACCTTTCTGAGCTCCATCACCACCCCCATGCCGCTCTGAGTCCCCTCTGTCCATTCCTCACCCCTCCCCCGATACCCTCCCCCATCCTCTCTGGAACCCAAACTGCCTTCCTCCGGGAAGCCTGCCCCCGCCTCCCACTCCCCAAATGGGAGGGAGATTCTGTAGGGTGGGTGGCAGGGGATGGGGAGGTGGGATGCCAGGCGGAGGTGGAGGGGCTTCCTCCCCACCCGTACCCCAGAGATAGCACCGCAGTGGGGAGTGCATGTCCCAGCCAGGGCCCCTGGCAGGGCGGGCGGGTGTTCTGGGAGGGGTGTGTGTGTGTGCGCGTGTGTGCTTGTGTGTGTGTGTGTGTGTGCTTGTGCACGTGAGCACGAGTGGATTTTCTCTCTCCTTTCCTGGAACCCACAGCTGGCTCTGGGCAGAGAAGGCTGGGCAGGGCGGGGAGGGTGGAGCTTTGCTGGGAGTGCTTGGGGTCCTGGTGCTGGTGCCTCCAAGCACACTCACACATGCACAGCCCGACACACCCCGGACCCTCTCTGGAGACCCTAGCAGAGTTGGCAGCTGAAAGCCCTGGGCCCACCCTGCAGGGAAGCTGAGAGGGGGAGTGCTGGGGGGGGAGGGCAGACCCCTCCCATTCTCTTCTCTAACAGTCCAGGGGGCAGGCTCCAGGGTCCTGGAGTGCTGCCTGCGGGCTCTGAGCCTCCGTGTCCTCATCTGTGAAATGGGGTGATGAGCAGATGGGGGGCTCCGTGCTCGTGCAGACTCTGGAGCCACAGCAGGTGGTCATGTGGTTCAGTAACACCCAGGCCCTCGGCTGGCACCTGAGGGTGGAACCCAGCCTCGGAGCAGGACTGTGGGCCCTGGGCTGAGGCTTTGAGGGGCGCCAGAGAGTGCTCCCCTTCCTGCCCAGGACCCTGGCATCGGGGTTCAGCTAAGGAAGGGGCTGATCTCCTGAGCCGCTGTGCCAGTGTCACAGCCTCGGGTGGATAATGGATGCCGCCCCATTGCCTGCAGGGGCCTCTGTCCTTTATCCCAGGGACGCACCAGAGGTGGGTGGTCCAGGTGCTGGTCCACCCCCTCCTTCCATCAGCAGGGCTACCTGCCCCCGAAATGCCAGGAGGAGGAGTTATCTGGTCTCCAAGCTCAGGCTGGGAGGGGGGGTAGGGCGTGGGCTGGCCCCTCCTCTTTCCTACCTGAGGCGGCAGCTGGTTGCCTGAGCTCCTGTCAACCTGCTTCTATTCGCTCCCCTGCCCGAAAGGCCCTTCCTGCCTGTGGCTGGTCCAGTGGCCAAGCCTGGAGGTTCCTTTAGCAGAGGCCTCTGTTCAGACTTAACCCAGCCTCCCTGGAGCGCCCTGAGGCTGCAGGCCTGTGGCTGTGTCCTCGGGACACAAATTCGGGGTGTGCAACTCAGGGTGCGACAGTGGGTGAAGCCCCATGGACCGGTGGCGCTGGGAGTGCACCCCCACGCATGTGGACAGTGTGAGCCAGAGTGTCCACACGCGTGTGCATGTGTCTGTCAGCGTGGCTGTGGGCAGGCTGGCGGCACAGAGGGAGCGTGGGCGGCTGCTTCCGCCCGGGTGGCTGGGAGGGCATCTGCCTGTAACAGCCCTCCCTCTCCCGCCCTGGATCCCAGCCGGCGGGTCTCCTCCCCGGGGAGGGAGAAAGTGGGGGCTCAGTTTCCCAGGGCACCTGCGGGGGGAGGGGACATCTGTTCCAGCTCAGGAGCTCTCTGCCCAGGGCTGACTCAACCCGTCTCTCTTCCCTGCAGATTTTCCGCCGCGCGGACAAAAATGGTGAGTTTCCCTCCCATGCTGCCCCTGAATGAGGACCTGGCTCTTTCCATCCTGACGCCTCAAGGGAAAGGACCAGGGGGGGAGTGGGCCACCTGAACCTAAAGGTTAAGGGTACAGGTCTCTGAAATCTGAAGGCCAAGTCCTGGTCCTGCTCTGTGCCTCAGTTTCCCCTCTGTACGACGGGACTCCCTAGTTCCTACACAGCGGGGATGCCATGAGGATTCTGTGAGGGGGTGTCTGATGCCAGGGTGTCCTGCCCATGGTAAGTGCTTGGTGTGCTTTAACCCTTACACACGCTGGGCCACGCTCTAAGGAAGCCCCCAGCCTCACCCTCGGCCAGCGGTTCTCAACCTGTGGGTCGCGACCCCTTTGGCGGTCGAACGACCCTTGCACAGGGGTCGCCTAAGACCATCCTGCATATCAGATATTTACATTACAATTCATAACAGTAGCAACATTACAGTTATGAAGTAGCAATGAAAATAATTTTATGGTTGGGTCACAACATGAGGAACTGTATTTAAAGGGCCAGAAGGTTGAGACCCACTGTCCTAGAGGAAGCAAATGGATGCCTCTTGGGTGAGGGGAGCCAC